CTGGCTGGATCACGCGTTTCAGCTGGCTGGGATCACGCTGCTTCAGCTGGCTGGCTCACTGCTCAGCTGGCTGGGACTGTAATGCTGGGCTCAGCTGCTGGATGGCCAGCCTGCTGGCTGGGATCACGCGTCTGCTGGCTGGGATCTCTGCCCAGCTGGCTGGGACCACGCTCAGCTGGTTGATCTGCCAGCTGGCTGGATTCGCGCTCGTGCTGGCTGATCACGCTGCTCAGCTGGCTGGATCACGCTCAGCTGGCTGGATCACGCTCGCTGGGCTGGCCTCGATTCAGCTGGGCTGGGATCACGCGGCTCAGCTGGCTGGATCTGCTCAGCGGCTGGATCACGTGTCTGGCTGGCTGGATCACGTTCAGCTGGTGGGATCTCGCTGCTCAGCTGGCTGGATCACGGCTGCTCAGCTGGCTGGGATCTCACGTTCAGCTGGGCGGGATCTTTGCGCTCAGCTGGTGGCGATCACGCTGCTCAGCAGCTGGGATCTCGCTCAGCTGGCTGGGATCACGCCAGCTGGCTGGATCTCACGCTCTGCTGGTTGGATCTCGCGTTCAGCGGCGATCTCACGTTCAGCTGGCTGATCACACGCCTCAGCTGGCTGATCACGTCAGCTGGGCTGGGATCTCGCTCAGCTGGGCTGGGATCTCGCTCAGCTGGCTGGATCACGCTGCTCAGGCTGGCTGGCCTCACTGCCCAGCTGGCTGGATCTCGCTCAGCTGGCTGATCACGCTGCTCAGCTGGCTGGGATCACGCAAGCTCAGCTGGCTGATCTCGCTCAGCTGGCTGATCACGGGTTTTAGCTGGCTGATTCGCTCAGTGGCTGGATCACGCTGCTCAGCTGGCTGGATCACGCTGCTCAGTTGGCTGGGATCGCTGCTCAGCTGGCTGGATCACGCCTTCCAGCTGGCTGGGATCTCGCTCAGCTGGCTGGGATCTCGCGCCTGTGCTTGGCTGGATCTTCACGTTCAGCTGGCTGGACTACGTCTCAGCTACTGGATCACGCCAGCTGGCTGGGATCTCGATCAGCTGGCTGGACTGCCCGCTCAGCTGGCTGGATCTCACCAGCTGGCTGGGATCTCACGCTCATCTGGCTGATCTCGCTCAGCTGGTTTGATCACGCTCAGTTGGGCTGGATCTGCCTGGCTGGATCTCATGCTCAGCTGGCTGGGATCTGCCTTCATCTGGCTGGGATCTCGCTCAGCTGGGCTGGGATCACGGCTCAGTTGGCGATCTCTGTCGCCCATCTGCTGGATCTGCTCAGTGGGCGATCTCGCTCAGCTGGCTGGGATCACGCTCAGCTGGGCTGGGATCTCACGCTCAGCTGGTTGGGATCTCGCTCAGCTGGCTGGATTCATGGTCATCTGCTGATCTCGCTCAGCCAAGGGATCACGCGGCTCAGTTGGCTGGGATTCAAGAACTCTACTTATATTTTACTACCAAATATAAGACTTATTATAGGTAGTGCTCATAAATTAAAAACGAAAAAATCGTGCGAAATGCGAGATTTACTGTACAAAGAAATGTATATTCCTTTGTGTTTGCCTTAGATTGGCTCATTTTTACCTTGTATTATATACAGGTAAATATATATACAGAACCTCACTTTACGCTGGGTCAATTGAACCCACGGCGAACCGCGAAAGCGAAACGTAGAAAGTGAATAACATAACATATGGGATTAATTGAAGAGACCACGCCGCACTCTTCAACCCACTCTTCTTTTCCACACACGTGACGCTTGTAAAAATAACATCTTAACTTTTATATAGTATGCACACACACATAATATTGAAGGGAACAATCAATAAGAGAATAAAATGATTGTAGGTTAGGTTGTAGAAAACAAGTATGTTAGGGGTTAACACTTATGTTAGTAGAAGAGAGATGGGTCAGCTGCACGGGAATGGAGGCTGGTTCCGGGAGGCAGAGGGAGGCAGGCTACTGTCCTTCAAGTGAGTCTTCATCACTGCCTATCCACAACCTATTAGTGCCTCTGAAAACTCTCAAAGTCACCACATCATTGTCTCTGCCACTATCACTGCTTCTGCTGGCTGTGGTGGGTTGCGGCGAAGAACTGTAATGCTTTTGCTGACGGGCTGGTGTTGATGTTGTCGTGATACACCGGGTATGTAGGGATTCTATAGGCTCGCAACAGCGGGTAGTGAAGACTTCATACTGGTTATCGCCAGGGTCATCGAAAGGAGGAGCTTGAGTTTTCAACACACCGAGGCACCCCTTACATTACCATGCGACAACTTATGCTTCTTGGGATGACGCACTACCCGCCTCTTTCACTGACGCCACTCATCATCATCTAACATCTCGCCGGCAGTCACATCAGATCCCTATCACCTCCAGGATGTCGCCGCAGTGGTCTTCGAGAAGCCTGCAGCTGTAACACTTCGCGGCAGCCTTCTGGCAAGGTCCACTGCTACTGCAACAGTCTGAACTCTCACCAGTCGCTGATTTACTCACCTCCCACCTAATACCTTTGGTACCATTACGTTCATGTGATTCCATCCGCTAAGCTACAGACAGCTGATCCCATGCTCCACCAAGAAGTTCTCATAGTTTTCATGCTAAACTTTCTCCAAAATTGTTTCACAAGTACTTCCTGTCACCAACTGTTGTTCTTCGCTTCTTGCTAACAAGTCACCCGCACAAGAACTCATCCTTGGTGCTGGTATAGTCAGCCAGGAGCTTAAACTTTTGCAGAGAATGGCCACATTGGCATCAATTTTGGTCTGGCGGGCTGTATTAATGACGAGTGGTTGGGAGGAAGGAAGACCACTTTACGCTAGTACCACCTAACAGTTGGGGGCGAAATTCGGTGCTGCTGTCAAGAGCAACAAATCTTGAATGGAACATTCTGTTGCTCACAGTACTTCTTCACTGCTGAACGAACAGTCATCAAACCAGGTAGGGACAGGAAGAACATCCACGCCTTTACGGGCGGTCAGCTGTGCGGAGGCTTAGCTTGGTCATGTCCATGCTCTTTTGTAGGCGGCGGGTTTATGCGGCTGTGTGATCACCGAGAATCCTGAGCTTTACAGGTACCGGAGGCATTATGGTAAACAGGACGGTGATAGCGCCTCCTTCGTAACTGGATCCCCTGGCCCTCGACACTTGTTGGCATTCTCTTTCACAACGAAGGTCGGAAGGAAGCTCTAAAAAGACCAGATTCCGTCCATATAAACACCTGGTCGCCGGTGTACTGTCCTCGCCCATAATCTCACGTGAAAACGGAGGAAAATCCTGCCGCGAACACGGGTCGGTAATGCTTCTTTCACCACCATCGTTAATGTTGGTGATCTTGTTCCTCTTCTTAAATCTCTGCAACCACCAGGAGGAAGCATTGAAGGGTTTTGGCTCGTGAATTCCTGCATCTTGACGTGACACTGCAGCATACAATCACGTATGCATTTCTTAACTGCGCCTGTGCACCGCCATGTTCCGCCTAAGCCTGATCTAATCAAGTAGCTCACAAGTAATTTCTCTCCAGCCTTGAGAAGCACCTGGTTGTGGCAATATTTGGATTATAGAAGCACCTGTAGACTCAGATGTCTATGTGCCTTTATCTTGGCTGCATCTTCTTAATTGTCCGTGATCGAGATCTGCATCACTATGCTGGCGCCGAGAGATCAACCTGGCTTTGTTCCTTTTCTCCAACTCTAGATGATATTGTATTTAATTTCAGAGGCTTAGGCACGCCAGACTTTGGCTTAGGCTGCTGGGTCCAGGTAATGCAAGGTTTTTGTGGTGGTAAGCAGGTCCTGGGAAGCCATTCTATGGAACAATAGATACCCCATATACAGGTAGCCGAGGGGTGTAACTGCTGGTAGGTCAAGGGTTGAACGCTTCGCCGGGCGGGGGCACGCCATAGTACATTAAACCAATCACAGCTAGTGGGAGGGAGGTGCGATACTGGCCCAATCATTAGTCCGAGCACGCTATATGACGCCACCAATAACGCAACAAAGATATACACTGCGCACCTATCGCTACCGCCTGCTACCGCTTTCCAACATGGTGGAATGGTGGAGAGATGGCAGGAGGTTTGAATCAAAAATGGCGCGCGCGAGAGGACCGCCAGCCGCCTCACAGAAAGGGTACACGCACTGCCAGAAGTGAGCATTCCTGTTCGGGAGGTACAGAAACGTGGAAATACAGAAGTGAAACTCAGAAGCGGGGTATACCTGGTGTGTGTGTGTGTACTGACACAGACACATACATACAGTAGTATATTCAATACAGGTAAAGGAAATTACTGTCGTTAAAATGAATGGCTACCTCTCCCACCCACGAAAATGTCAGCAACTTTAAAACTACATGCAGACATTGTTGGGCACATCCAGGGTGTCATCCGTGAATAATAGAGGACTGCGAAATAAAAATCCGTGAATTATCAGGGCGTACCGTAGTTGTTTTACCTCACTGCCTTTTTTTCTTGTGACAAATTATGCAGATTTTGAAGTTTGTACTGTATTTGGTGATTTTTTTTAAAATGCTCCCATTATGAACTCACCTGTGGTCACTATGTCAATTTTTTTGTAAAATTAAGACAACTTGGTTTTAAAGATGAATTAAGCTGTTTTTGTGAGTCAATCACAAAAAAAAAAAATTGGTAATAAGATGACAACTCCATCATCCACAGAAGCTGATATATGGTTGTCACCTTGTCCACCATATTGACTATTGAGTCTGGTTGAGAATAAAGCTTGGCAACCATCATTCTCATAGTCAGCAAGGTAGAAGCAGTCTAAAAGAGCTACGGTTATCCAATTTGAACACTACTTGCAGCTCAAATAATTTTTGAGACACGTCTTGTGCCCAGCACACCTAGAATAATATAAAGGAAGCAAACTTTCCAGGGACTGTACGATACTGTACTGTACTGCTGGAACAAATGCACTGCCCCTAAGAATTGTTCTGCTTTTATTTATTTTTTCTTCATATTATCTACAGTACAGGAATGTATTTTTTTCTTACAGGCGTGAGGGCTGTATCACTGTTGTAAGGATGAGTGACGTGAAGCAACACAAGGATACTGATAAAGTCGTCCATTCTACTCCTGCTACGGAGTGCCGACGCGTCCCCGGTAATGGCCACTTCACCCTGAACACACTCGGTGAGGCTCGTGTTGCTGTAACTTCACACCCTGCACCAATAATGGCAGATCTTGAATTTGTGGATGCAAGATCACAGGAATCTGCTGCTGAGGAATTCCGTTTATCCCCAGTTCTGAAAAGTCACAGAAGGAGAGTTAATAAGATGAGAATAACTCACAGCCACAAACCTACATGTAGCCACAATACTACAGTTGTAGTTGTTGACCATCAGCTCTCAGGAGGGAGCACACTACCTGAGTCTGCTCACCCCTCAACATTAGATAATACTGTGTTAAAAGTAGTTGACTCACCTGTGTTGGACAGCAGACACATGTTATCACCTCGCCCACAAACATCTAATAGTGAAGCTAGTAATACACGCTCCCCATTTATAAATCATGATGACTGTCCTAGTAAACCTTGACTTTGAACAAATAGATTCTCTGTGTCTGTCAATGGAATCTACTCCAAAGAGAAAATTATCAAAAAACGAATCTAAAAAAACTCCCCTGTCAGACAGAAGCGTAAATTCTTGTCAATATGATGTGCACACAACACCACACAGGACCCGAGCCACAACACCGCACAGGACCTGCCACCAACAAAGATGTCGGGGGTAAAAGGAAAGATGCAGAAGAACGCAATAAAGGGAGAGAGAAGACCGGTGTTGAGGTTCACCAATTACCTTGTGTTAAGAATATTTCTAAAAGATTCTGTCAGAACCCTAAATGTGATGTGAGTGTTGTAGCAGAAAGTAGTAGTGGTGGTGAGAGGGAACAACAGCAGCTCCCTGGCAGGTCCTCCCCTGATATATTTGATGATGAACTTCTGACAGATTCATTTAGTGTCAAAATCTCTGACTCCTTTGATGAAGAATTATGCCAGATGGAAGAAGGATATTATAGCAAATGTGATAAAAACATAGTGAAGCTTGGGGAAGGAAGTGGTGTTAAGTCTCAAGATTCCGAGTTAAGCTTTGCCAGCACTCTGGACTCTCAGCCATTAATTGGCAGATTTAACAACAGAATACAACAATTAACTCCAACACAGCCGCCAGGTGAGTGTCCAACATACAGTATAGGTACAGTAACTATTACTTGTGAGAAGTGTAGGTGTGCCAACTGCAAGGCGTGTGCCAACTGCTTGTAGCTACACACCTATGACACTATAACACCATCCACAACCAACCATGGCACTATAACACCATCCACAACCAACCATGGCACTATAACACCATCCACAACCAACCATGGCACTATAACACCATCCACAACCAACCATGGCACTATAACACCATCCACAACCAACCATGGCACTATAACACCATCCACAACCAACCATGGCACTATAACACCATCCACAACCAACAATGGCACTATAACACCATCCACAACCAACCATGGCACTATAACACCATCCACAACCACCCATGGCACTTTGGATTGTTTAATAATTATCCTGACAGTAATACAGCCGAGAATAGATCCACCAATCACAATCACCTTTACATACAGCCTTCCTTCACCAAGTATTGCCAGGAAAATTTGCCAGTATGAGACTCAGGGTGGGGTCGCTGGATCTCTTGCTTAGTGTACCTTTCAAGTATTTCATTAGAAGTATAATCTAAGTTATTCTTCATTTGTTTTCCTGTCAGTGTAGCATGTTCTTAGCACCCACTCTTCTGACTCTTACAATAGTCTGCCTTTAGGCATTTTTTTTTATTAGTTATGTCTTTTTATTAGGGATTTTACTTATTAAATGCTGCGTTTGCTGCTTTATTCTTCTTTTTATTTTTTCTGTACATCTATCTTCACAAGAAATTACTTCCCAAATACTGTATGCAATATTTTACACTTGTTAAAGTTCCCTGTTGCCTTCCATAATTTATATTTCAGGATTTATTTCCCGCTTGGAAACAACCGTCACTTTATTCTTTACACAGCATTAACTATTAAATCATATTTTTCACCTTTTTTCACCAATATGTTCACGAGGTTTTGTAATGCATTTTCACTATCTGTGATACTATCTGTGATAAGAGCAGAGACAAAACAATTCCTACAATACTACTATCAGTACAAAACAATTCCAACAAGTACTGTACTACTATCAGTACAAAACAATTCCTACAATACTACTACAGGTTGTACTGTACCTCTCTAGTCCGGCATTCTGTGGTCCGGGAACTCCCGTGGTTTGGAACGATTTTAGTTTGTCCAATAGGTAGATAGGCAGCTTTTTTTTTTTTTTTTCCTTTTATCTGCATTATTATTATTATTATTAAAAGTATTAAATTTTGCCCCCTCAGGCCCCAATGTGGGTCAGTGACCTATGCCGGGTTGGGCTAATCCCCATAATAAAATACAACAACAAAGCCTCGAGAATTAAGGTTTGTTTACATCTTGCAGTTCTCTCTCTCTCTCTCTCTGCTTGTCTATACAGAGTACAACATTTAACCCTTCAATATATATGAGCAGCAAAAAGTGCTTTCTTATCTTATGTAGAAATGAGTGATATGTTTTCACGTATAGCACTTACATCATGATCTCACTTTTTTCTTTACCATTTATGGTTAGCTACTTATATTGTTCCATTTATTACATTAAATAACGTTACTTCAAACAAGCATATAAATTTTTTTACATTAATTTTACTACAGCTACAATCAGGGTCTTATTTTCTTCAGTTTTATATGTGAAAAGCAATCAGTCACTGGTTTTTTGTCGCAACAATGCTGCAGCCATCTCGTATCTTCGTGTTAATATTCACGTATTATTAATGAATTGTATTGTTCATTTTGTACACAACATTAATTCAAAAAAATTCAAACATTAATTAAAATATATATGAGCAGTAAATTAGTGTTGCTTTCATATTCTTATATAGAGTAATGATATGTTTTCACATGTCTTACTATCAGAGGCTCTCTTTTTCTTTACCATTATTGTTAGCTACTTCTATTGTTCCATTAAATAACATTAAATAACATTACTTAAAACAACCATATTAATTTTACTACAGCTACAGCCAAGGTCTTATTTTCTTCAGTTTTATATGTAGAACCAGTCAGTCACTGGTTTTGTAATCCATAACAATGCTGTCTCATTTCCTTGTGTGTTTTTAATATTCTCGTATTATTAATGAATTGTATTTTCACACTTAAACATTAAGTCAATCAAAAAACATTCAGTAATAAACAATAATGAATCTTTTGTACATAAGAGAAATGGCGCTGTTTACATGATTGTACGTCGTCTGAACGTTGGTGGGCGTTCAAACCGTCGAAATTTGAGTTTCCCGATCAAAATTTTAATTTTTTTTTTGTGTGTGTTCAAATAAAAACGTTCAGATTATAAACTCTACGATGAGAAAGCATAGAGACATTTAACCCTTCAATATGTCTTCAAAGAGACCATGAAGCAGAGAAAGTGGTGCTAGTGCTTCCAAGCATAAGCACAAGTCACTATCTATCCAGGAAAAGGGTGAATTTCCATGGTCCGGCACCGGTCAGGTCCCGAGGTTGCCGGACTAGAGAGGTACAACCTGTATCAGTACAAAACAATTCCTACAATACTGTACTATCAGTACAAAGCAATTCCTACAATACTGTACTACTATCATTACAAAACAATTCCTACAGTACTACTATAAGTACAAAACATTACAATTCCTACAATACTGTTCTACTATCATTACAAAACAATTCCTACAATACTGTACTACTATCAGTACAAAACAATTCCTACAATACTGTACCACAATCAGTACAAAACAATTCCTACAATACTGTACTACTATCAGTACAAAACAATTCCTACAGTACTGTACAGGTTGTACCTCTCTAGTCCGGGCAACCTGGGACCTTGGACTGGAAGCCGGACCATGGATATTCACCTTTTCCTGGACAGATAATGACTTGCGCTTAAGTTAGCACCACTTTCACTGCTTGCGTGTCTCTTGAAGACATTTTGAAGGGAAATGTCATACAGTAGCTTCTCAAATTTTGATGAAGTTTTAATTCACCGTTTTTATTTGGACAAAAAAATACATAATTTAAAATTTTGGCGGAACCTCGAATTTCAACGGTTTGGACCTGGTTCGCTAACTCAGACGACGTGTACAATCGTAAGCAGCGTTATTTCTCTTATGTACAAAAGATTCATTATTGTTTATTACTGAATGTTCTTTTGATTGAATTAATGTATATGTGCAAAATGGGCAATACAATTCATTAATATAGTAGAATATTTAAACAAACAAGGAAATGACACAGCATTGTTTAGTTGATTACAAAACCAATGACTGACTGGTTCTACATATAAAACTGAAGAAAATAAGACCTTGGTTGTAGCTGTAGTAAAATTAATATGGTTGTTTTAAGTAATGTTATTTAATGTTAATAAACGGAACAATAGAAGTAGCTAAATACAATAGTAAAAAAGAAAAAGAGATCGCATATGTAAGTGCTCTCCACGTGAAAATATATCGTCATTACCTTACATAAGAATATGAAAGCAACACTTATTTACTGTTCATATATATTTTAATTAATGTTTCTGAATTTGTTTTATTGAATCAATGTATGCAGTGTGAAAAATTAACAATACAATTTATTAATAATACGTGGAATATTAGAGGAGACGAGACGGCTGCCGGGCATTGTTTATAAAAGTTTACAAAACCAGTGACTGATTGGTTCTACATATAAAACTGAAGAAATAAGACCCTGAGTTTAGCTGTAGTAAATTAATGTAAAAATGAATATGGTTGTTGAAGTACCTGTAATGTTATTTAATGTTAATAAATGGAACAATATAAGTAGCTAACCATTGATGGTAAAAAAAGGAGACTGCTCCGTATGTAAGTGCGCAACATGTGAAAATATATCGTCATTACTCTACATAAGAATATGAAAGCAACACTTATTTACTGCTCATATATATTGAAGGGTTAAATGTTGTACTCTGTATAGACAAGCAGAGAGAGAGAGAGCAGCCAACTGCCAGATGTAAACAAAACCTTAATTTCGCGCTTTTTTTTTTTTTATGATTAGCCCACCGGGCATAGGTCACTGACCCACATTGGGGCCAGGGGAAAAATTTAATACTCCTGTAATAATAATAATAATTCAGATAAGTAAAAAAAAAAGCTGCCTATCTACCTATTGGACAAACTAAAATCGTTCCGGACCGAGGGAGTTTCCGGACCACAGAATGCCGGTCAGAGAGGTACAACCTGTTGTAGTATAGTATTGTAGGAATTTTGTACTGATTGTAGTACAGTATTGTAGGAATTGTTTTGTACTGATAGTAGTATTGTACGAATTGTTTTGTACTGATAGTAGTACAGTATTGAAGGAATTTTTGTACTGATAGTAGTACAGTATTGAAAGGAATCGTTTTGTACTGATAGTAGTATTGAAATAATAGTTTTGTACTGATAGTAGTACAGTATTGTAGGAATAGTTTTGTACTGATAGTAGTACAGTATTGTAGGAATAGTTTTGTACTGATAGTAGTCGAATTGTAGGAATTGTTTTGAACTGATAGTAGTACAGTACTCCCTCTTTATCACGGGGTTACGTTCTGTAAACGGCACGATAAAGAAACCGTCGATACCGTGGTTAGTAATTTTCTAACTATTATTAGCATATGTTGAATAAATGTACCTTTAAGCATTAATGCGTTTTCTTTACACATAACCTTAAATAATAGTGTATAAATAATAATATAATAAGTGGACAAAATACTAGCAAACTTACGATTTCATTTATTGAAGTGAACATCGGTCCTTACAGTAAACAAAACAGTGTACAGTACAGTAAAAGTCCAAAATCCGGATGCCCACAAAATTGTTTACCATTTATTATTACAACACTTTACACTGAAACGCGGTAGTTTCAACAAAAATATTGTATATTCCATTCAAGTATTTATTCAAGTCAATTAGAGGGAATATTATTGTAATACAACAGTTTTTAACTAAACCAATCGAAAAGTGATTACAGTAACATCTTTTGAGCGAAAAGAGGCAAGTCATTGTTTTCGCACGATTTGA